ACCATGTTGCATTGATCCCTTTGCTTACTGAGGAGAATTGGGAGTGTTCTCAGTTTTTCCCATCACCAACACCACTGTGCGTGTGTTTTTGTACATTACAAGTACCAGCGTGTCTCCAGAAGATGTACCAGGTAGCGGACTTCCTGGAACAGAGAAAACATAGCTTTTTTTTTCTTCTTCAAGATTTAAGACCTTTGGCTCAAAGCAAGGACTCTGGAGTCATATAGCTTGGTTTCAATTCTGCCACTGATCTGCACGGGCCAAATGCCCTTGGGCCAGTGGCTGAACCTCTCGGAACCTGTTTCCTCACCTGTGAGAGGCTAGTAATCATTGGTACTATAGTCCTAGGAGCGTCACAAGGAAGCATTACTATTTATGTACAGCACTTAGAAGAGTACCACACACAGGGGCCCTACTGTATAAGTTGCTTTTCATAGATTTTGCCAAATTACCTCCCAAATGGATCTCTGTGCAAGACAGTGGTGCCCACTGTCACAGGGGTTTGCTTCTAACCTCTCCCACTCTCAGAATGGTTAAGCCCTTGGAAGCTTGTCATCCTAGAGTGTGAAACCCGATTCATGGTTTTAGTTTACATCTCCAGGATCAGCGGTGGTGAGCATCTTTGTGGGTGTAACTGGACATTGAGACTCTCTATCCTTTGAATTGCCTCAGAGTGGGGAAAGAGCTGAGGGAGTGAGGTCAACCACAGTCTGTCCCCCAAATCTGACTGCCAAGAATATTTGATGGAAGCAGATGAGGCAGATTGCTTGCAGAACAAAAACAGGATCCCTTTGCCCTCTGGCCACGTATAGAGAAATATGCCGACCACTGATTACTGACTGTGAGATTCCTCTGCCCAGTCTCTCATTGGGTCGTGAGGCTTGTGGTGGAAGGGAGGCTGGCAAATGCTTTCAGCACGTTCTAAGTGCCCAGCGTCTCCATTCTGACGTTTCATCCTCACCTCCCAGGAGACCACGGCCCTCAGGACCCTCCTGCCTCCCACTCCACCCATTTTGTACACAGTCAGGGCTCAGGGCTGTGACTCTAACCGGAAAGGGAAGGCAGGACAGGAGGAGGTGGGACGAGAGGCTTGACAGAGGTACTCATACTATCACCTTCATCCGCCAACACATCAACTGCCCTGATGACCCTTGGGCTCGGCAGCAAACTGGAGGAGGCCTTTGGCCCCATTGGTTACTCCTCGAGGGGCCGGGCAAACAAGGCGCACGCTGGTTGGTAGGAACCGGACCAATAAGGAGGCCATGGCTGGGGCGTCCCAGGCTTGCTGAAAGCCTGGGGCGGTTTGCCACAATCTTGTGTGTGCGGTGCATGTGGTGCTTGACCACTCGTTCCAGACGTCACTGGCCTCACCTTCCACCACCACCACCGCCACCACAACTGGGTTGATAAATCATCACCGCCCCAGGTCCGGGGGCCACCCAGATGGCTACATGAGCTCCCCGGATGATGAGGTGTCAGTTTGGGGAGCGGGTTTCTGCCCAGAGGGCAGGGAGCAGACCTGCATCCCTCGGGCCGGCTCCGCGGCCCCGCAGGGACCTGGACTGGGCTCCAAGGTGAGGACATCGCGAAGCGGCGAGGGTGAGGGTGGAGATGGGTACCCAAACCCTGAGGGATTCAACTCAGAGTGGGAGGTGCTGGAAGCGGGGGGGGCCGGTGCTGTGGGGCTGCGAAGACCAGCTTGGTTCCCTGGCCGAAAAACAAAGGGGACGCCCTGCAGCTGGCTGACGAGTCGGTGGCGGGCATTCCTGCGGCAACTGAGTGACCTGGACATACTGGGCGTCCGCAGATACCTGTCCCTGGAGAGCTATGTGATCACCGATGTGTCCTCCTTGTGGGCCGACCTCGAGGCGGGTCCCAGTGGTCGAGGCACGGTCCCCCAGAGTTGTGGGGCAGCGGTGCTGGCTGCGGCCGGCCCTCTCCAGGTCGGTGGGGCTGAGGCGGGCCGGGCCTGGGGGAACCCTAAGAGATGCACTAAGAGTAGGTTGAACGTGGCTGCAGATCACCAGCAGCCCCCCTCAGAAGGCTCGTTTGGGCTGCTGTCTGACTCCGAGTCCTCTGATGAGTTCAGTGAGAGAGAGCTGATGAGGGTGAGCATTTATCCCAAAGAAGGAGGCCAAGCCAAGCTCAACAGCCTCAAGGGTCCTAGGAACACGCCCAGACACTCGACTGTCTAAGGCAGGGAGAATCTCCTTCTTAACCTGCCAGGCCCGTTCCTGTCCTCCGTTCTGCGAGGGTTCACTTCGGTTGTGGAAAGGCAGGACAGGCAGGGCGATGCAGAGCTGAACGTCTTCCCACCTAAGAAATGCAGAGCGAGCTCTGGGGGAAGGGTGGCTGCCAGCCGAGCTACCAGGGAGTACCAGTAGCAGCAGCTACTGCAGCTGCCACTACCAGCAGCCTGCCACGCGTCACTCCTAGGAGGAAGAGAGACCAGGAGAAGAAATCCCTCGGGGGCATCTCCAAACCTGCCCTGGGGAGAACCTTCCCTTCCTGGGAGCAGCGAACCTCGGCCACTCCCCTGGAACCGTCCCCGTTGCCCCCAGTCTCTGCCATTCCGCTGCTTGGGAGGTCCAAGAGGTATCCCTTGGCCCCTTTGGGAACCAGAGAGTCCAAGCACACGGGTGCTGGGGCGAAATCTGTGGCCAGGAGGGCACGGGAGGCCGTGTCAGCGATGGCGGTGGTGGGAGAAGACAACGACCCAGTCACAAAGGGCCAAGCGAGTAGGCCAGGCCCCTCCTCTCTCCCCACTCTTCTCCCTCCCACCCTCCCTCTGTCCGTCCCTCAGGGGTCGTCATTGGGTGCCCCTTGGTCAGTGGGTCATTAGGATGTCAGATTGGGGTCCTTTTACTAGGGACAAACGTTAAAGTAGCACTTTGGGTGTGCTGGGCTCGGTTTTCCACCCTTGGACTGTTTCCAGTCTCCGCGAGGCTGGGACTAGAGAGGAAGGGAGGGTTGGTAGCTTAATTGTGTCAAGGGGACCCCTTAAAAGCTTCACAGAGCTTCAGTGTTTAGATGAATGACTTTCCTGAATCCAACTTCTTAGCTGTTCCCCAAACCTTCTTTCAAGGGGCCTGGGCTTTCTCAGTGCTGCACTGTTGTCCCCCACTCAGCTCTGCCTGCTGGCCTGGGGCTGACTGATGGAGAAAGTGCTAAAGAGATCAGCCTTTCAATTCTCTTCCCATTCCCCTGCCTCAGCCCAGTCCCAAATCACGCCTGCTCACAAACACACACAGACACAGACACAGACATATGAATGCACTGGTACACACAAACATGCATACACACACACACACACACACACACACACACACACACATCATTAGTCCAGATTGGTGAAAAATCTTTGTTTTAGCTTCCCACTCACTGGGCATGGCCATTTTCTCTGTGGGCACATCATGGAGAACCCAGCAGTGGTGACCTCAACATCAGAGACCCCAAAGATCCAGGAAACTCAGAGCCCTTGGCCCTGAACCCGGGAGGAGTCATGCCCAGAGGACCTGAACCCTCAGATGAGTGTCTTGGGTTTTGATATGGGGGGAGAGAACAGGGGGTGAGGGCAGAAACCTCTCTCTCTCTCCAGGGGGCTCAGCCTTGCTCCTAGGAAGCTTCTTCCATGGGAAACAGGGTGTCAACAGGGCTGGCCCTGGCCCCATCATCCTCTGTGTGGGATTTATTTGGCAGAGGTGATCGGTGGCAGTGCCCCAACAGCTTCTCTGGCTGTAAACTTGCAGGCTAAGAGCCTTTTCTGTGAAGTGCTCTTCACCCCCATTGCTCTCCCAGGTGCTGGCCGTGGCTGCAGCTCTGAGAGGCTCGAACCAAGAACCACAGTCTTTGGGGACCGCAGTGGTGAAAATGCTGCTCTTGGGGAACAGGGGAGGCAGGCCCATAGAGAAGGTCTAACCTGCCAGGCAGAGCAGGGGAGGCTTGTTGCCAGCAGATCGAGGTGCTGCCTCACCTCGCGTTAGAGTCTGGTTGACCCTTTCCACTTCACTAGGAGCCTGGGAAGATGGATTGTGTGCCCTTTCCCTCTCAGGTGACCAGGAACCAACTGACCATTCCCCAAGATGGGAAAGGAAGCAGCAGCCACCGGGAATGCTGGACTGTCCTCGAGTAATGCTTCCTCTGGCTCCTGAAATGCACACCCAGTCCTCATGGTGGAATCTGGATCCAAGTGCAACTGAAATGTGTGGGCCTCCCCGCCTCGTCCCCATCCCACACCCCTCAGAAGGAGCCCACCTCCTGTCCACTGAGAAAAGTCTTTCCCTTGCCATTCTAGACATCTGGCTTTGGTATGGATGGCCCTGGGGACAGGAGAAAAAGGAGGCAATGGGAGGGCAGTGTATACTAACCTTTTCTCTTCCTCCCATGTCTACTGGCCTAGTGTCTGGTGCTACAGAGAGAAATGGATGACCTTAAAGAGCAATACAGTATCAGGAACCAGGGACAGAGAGCAGCGGGTTCTTAGTGCAGAAGCGGGATGTGCACTTGGGCTGGGGTGGGCTGCAGGTGCAAGGGACCTCATAGGGATCAGCATTCCTGTGGGGAGGAAAACCTATCAAGCCTGTCCCTGCAGCATGCGGTGCATGTTTAGCTGGGCATGCAGACAAAGTACTGTGTGGACTGCGTGGACACTCTGCCCGACAGGTGAGTCCTAGAGAGCTCCTTCTGATAGGACTTGTAGAGATGCCATGTTGATTTTTCCCTTTAACTGCTGCTTGGTGTTGCATCTAGTGTTCTTGTTAGATTGCTTGTTTGAGAGACAATTTTTTAACTTGAGAGCTGCTGGCACATTTTCGTTCGTTTTAGGAAATAGCTTCACATTTAACTCAGGTGGTGGGGAATGATCAGGCCCAGAGCTCTTTGCTTTGGGGCTAGTGGGGTGGGTTTCAGGTTTGGGGCTAGGTGGTTCCAAACAGGGACAAGGGGGCAGGCTTATATATCCCTCTGTGTGGAGCACCTTCTTATGCCTCTCCCTGTTGCAGCCGCCATGCAGCACCTCGCTGACAAGTTCCAGATCCTTTGAAGTGAGTGTTACACAAAACATACCCCTTCCCACAGTCCTGGTTGTTGAGCAGGGTTGTGGGCTGGCCCTGCCTTGAGGCTGTTCCTTGAGTCTGCTCTTTTGCAGGTTGAGCCCAACATCTTTCTGCAAGAGGAGCAGCTGTGACCTCCAGGGCTGGCGAGCTGTGGACAAGCGTGTTGCCTCTTCTTCTGCCTCCGCCAGGGCATCCTCTGCCCCTTGATTTGCCCCCTCTCTGCCCCAGTCTCACAGCAGTTTTTGATTAAAGGACTTGTCATGTTCTGTGTTCTGCCCTCTCTCTGGGGTTAGGGGTTGGGGGAGTGGGGCAAGGCCTGGTGGGGAGCCACTCCATATCAGATCCTGTTGCAGAACAGTACCTCTGGCATCCTGTGATGGGGACTCTGGGTCAGCCTCTGCCACCATCCAGGCCAGCAGGGCAGCAGAGTGCCACCGGTCTGGGTTCACTGAGGGCCTTGTCTGGCCACATTGGCACATCCTCCCATTCCCCTAAAGGCCCTCTTCTAGTTCTCTAAACACCCTCTTCTGGGATTTGCCGGTTCCCATCCATCGATGACACTCTGCCTCCCTGGTGGAAGGAACTCATGACTCCCCCACAGAGCTCCAACCCATCCTCCTTGCCGCAATGGACTCATTGTCCTACTTACCCTGACCACTCTCTCTTCCTGTTGGAGCACCCTCAATCCCTCCCCTGACTTGCCATTGGTGACCTTGGGTGCATGTGTAGTTCAGCAGGTGGAAACAGGCACAGGTGCCCTCATCTCCCCCTTTCCAGGCTCTGCCCTCTCAGTGGAGTCCCTACTGCCCGTACCATCCCCACTCCTGCCCCAGTCCCACATTGCACGCTGGAAGCTGCACACAGTCCTCCTCTCCTCTTTAGCTCTCACCTCTGAGACTCAGGCGCCAACACTTTCCCTTTTCCTTCTTTGGATTCAATAAGGGGCTTGGGCATGAAGCCTGGACCCAGTGAGCTGGGGAGCAGGAGGGAAGGTACAGGGAACACAGGGGACAGGCTAGTCTCTGGGCTGGAGGTCAAGAGACGCATCTGTTTGGTGCCAACCTGGGTCAGACTGCACCCTGGAAGCTAGAGAAGGATGGTGGAGTCCTTTGTGTTTTCACATCCTCCCTGCCCTAGCCAGCTGACCACCCTCACCTTCAGCCTGAGCCTCTCTATACTGTTGAGTGGAAATGGGCCCATCATGCTCTATGGCAAGTGTGGTTATTACGTCTCTGTCCGAGTGAGTAAATTTGGCAGAGATCATCCACCTGAGGTCTCTGCCCACCGAGACATGTAGGTAAGTTGTGCCCAGGGAGAAGTCCAGCACCAGCATCAGCACCAACCTTGGGCAGAGAGGGGCCCGGGACTGTGGTCACCAGGGTGAGGAAGTGGAGAAGCTCATGGAAGTGGAGGTGTAAGGGCGTGAACACAACCCCTCGTTCACTTTTTACCAGGCTCCCTTCCCTCCTCTGAGCACACAGTTCAGACCAACTACCTCATTATAATGTTGCTGGAAACATAGACATCTCAGGCCGTGGCTCAGCCCCAAGTCTTCCAGTTCCAGTGGGAAATCTGTGGCAGGGCCTGAGGCATAGGTTAAAGAAATCCATCTGGGCCCCAGGGGGTAGGAGGAATGCAGAAGCCCGCCCTCACTCAGTGCACCCCTGTTGCCTTTCCCCTTCAGCCTTGGAGAGACCTAGGCCCCATCCTGCCTGGTTCTGCTGCCTGTCCAAATCCAGGGAAGATGCTCCCTCCCTATCACACCCCCACCCCACCAGCACCAGCCCCAGGTCTACCGCTTTCTCTGGACTATTGAGGGAGACTGGCACAAACAAAGAATGTAGAGTAGGTGAGCCTTGAAGAGAGCGCTGGCTACAGTGGGCACAGTAATCATGCCCCAAAATGTCCACGTCCTAATCCCTGCAGTTGGCTTATATGTTCCTTTGCATGATAGCAGTTGGTTAAGCTTGCAGATGCAATAAAGGCTGCTACTCAGCTGACTTAAGGTGGGGACACTCTCACCTCCAATGGGTAGGTCCGGTCAGGCACTTTGGGGCTGCCAGGGTTGCCATGTGGACTGTCCGTGTGTGACCCAGGGAGCAGCATTTGAGTGGCTACAGTGTGCTTGTTCTACCTGTGCTTGTGCAATGTTGACGTCCTGGTAAGTACTGCTCAGATGCAGATGGAGGACTTTTACAATGAAGATTTACTTTCTTTCAAAAGATTTACTATTTCTGTTTCATAAAACAACCCTTCCAAACATAGAAGAGAAAGTGCATGTAATTAAATATGAATTAAACAGACAACACATATACACATTATAGACAGCATTAGCCTTCAATCTGATGAATAGGTAGGTAACAATCAACCCATTTCACTATACTCAGGTGACATGTACATTGCACATCCAGGACTCACCTATATATCCTTCTCCCTCACAAAATTCTCATGAATAAGTCAACCTAGTGCCAATTCCATTTACTTCACATTCTTGAGGGTCCAAACTATATACAAAGAAAGCAGATGGGGGTGTTGCCTGTGTCTGGGGATTGACATAAGGGGTTAAATGACAAAAAAAAGAAGCAATTTTGCAGGTGATGAAAAAATTTTGTTTCGATTGTGGGGATGGTACCATAATAGGATGTACTTACAGCGGCTCAGAGACCTTGTAAGTAAATTGTATCTTTATTATTGAGATACTAATACCTTTTTCAACAGCACAAGAGATGGTTTTACACATGGTTATCACCAAATGGGCAATACCAAAATCAAATTGGTTACAGTCTTTGTAGCTGAAGATGGAGAATCTGTATATAGTTAGAAAAAACAAGACCTGGAGTTGACTGTGGCTCGGATCATCAGATTCACATAGCAAAATTCAGGCTTAACCTAAAACTGTGGTGAAAACCAGTCAGGTACAACTTATGTCATATCCACTATGATAATGCAGCAGAGGCAACAAATAGATTCAAGGGATTAGAACTTGTAAACAGTGTGTCTGAAGAACGATGGACTGAGGACTGTAATACTGTACAGGAGGCTGTGAACAAAACCATCCAAATGAAAAAGAAAAGCAAGAAGGCAAAGTGGTAGGAGGCCTTACAAATAGCTAAAGAAAGAAGAGAAGCAAAGATCAAGGGAGAAAGGGACAGGTATCAAACTAAATGCAGATTTGACCAACCTACCGATAACATCATAGTCAATGGTAAAAAGAAGAAAGCATTTCTTCTAAGATCAGGAAGAAGAGAAGGATGGTCACTCTCACCACTTTTATTCAATGTAGTTATGGAAGATCTAACCACAGCAATCAGAGAAAAAGAAATAAAAGAATCCAAGTTGGAAAGGAAATAAAGCTGTCACTGCTTGCAGTTTGCATGATACTGTGCATAGAGAATTCTAAAGATGCTGCCAGAAAACTATTAGAGCTCATCGATGAATTCAGTAAAACTGCAGGATACAAAATGAATGCACAGAAATCTCTTGCATTTTTACATGCTAACAATGAAATTTCAGAAAGAGAAATTAAATAAACAATCCCCTTTACCATCACATCAAAAAGAATAAAATGCCAAGGAACAAACCTAAGGAGACCAAAGAGCTGTACTCACAAATCTGTAAGATGCATGCACCCCAATGTTGATTGCAGCACTATTTACAACTGCGAAGACAAAGTAGCTACCTAAATATCCATCGACAGAAGAATGGATAAAGAATATGTGGTACACATATACAGCGGAATATTTCTTAACCATAAAAAGAATGAAATAATGCCACTTGGGGCAACACGGATGCGCATAGTGGTTGCCATACTGAGTGAAGAAAGTCAGAAAGAGAAAGACTAATGCCCCTTACATGTGGAACCTAAAAAATTGTACAGGTGAACTTATTAACAAAATGGAAACAGACTTTGAAATCTCATGATTACCAAAAGGGAAAGGCAGAGGTAGGGAAGGGATAAAGATCCTGATCTATAACATCCTAATGAGAGATACTGATGATGACATAAACAGATGGAAAGAAATATCATATTCTTGTGAGGCCAAGCATTTACAACTAGCCTCTGCTTTACATTTCTTAAGGAAGGAGGCAAGTGGGCTTGAGTCCAGGTATTTACAGTCAGCCTCCAGCTTGCACTTTAAAATAGAAAGAATAAGAGTAACTGGGTAAATAGTCAGGCTTTGTCTCCTGAGGACACTTTAAGATAACAGCTCTGGCAGAGACAGTGGGGCTACTCTCTGGTTGAGTAAAAGATCAAGAGGTCACATATGCCCATTCTCAGGGCAGGAGAGACACTGCATATGGGCAGAAAGGCTCCTTGGGGGTCAAAAACAAAGGGGCCCCACCCCATAACATGTGATACAATGTCTCCCCCATAGGTCTCCGGGCTGGCATGCATCTGGGAATAGAGTTGCTCATGCATGTTGGGGAGGGTCCCAGGACAGGTCAGATGTGAGAAAAGAAACAAGCTAACTGGCCAAACATAAACAAAGACCCAAAAGGACTGTCCTATAAAAATGACTTAACTGCCTCTTACTGCACTCCTCCTCAGTAGGACAGATGCCTACACCTACACCTTCTCCCAGTGTGTATCATTGCCTTCTCTGTCTTAACTAAACAAACTGTTTCTCTGTGTGCTCTCCCACTTGTGCTGCGTCTCTATCAGTAAACTCTGTACCTTTTGTTTTTCTTTTTACAGATTTTGCCTCCTTGAGAAATGCATTTTTCCAAGGGGCAAACTTAAAGCCACAGCTCACTGCTGCCTCTCTGAGATCACTTGTATTGGAAAATCAATATTGGCAGAATGACTATACAACCCAATGCAACCTACTGATGCAACTGAATCGTTATCAAATTACCAATGGTATTTTTCACAGAACTAGAACAAAAATTCCCAAAGATTGTATATAGACACAAAAGACCATGAATAGCCAGAGCAATCCCGAGCAAGAAAAGTGGAGCTGGAGGAATCAGGCTCCTGGACTTCAGA